ATATATATATATATATATTCGTACCCCGTCTTTAAGAAAGCTCAGGTCGATGGGTTCAGACGCAAGCAATCGACTGCTGCGGCCCAGCTTGTTGGTGGCTTTGGCTAGCTTTTCGTCGACAGCAGTCAGTTGGGTGGTCATGGCAGCTACCAGCTTCTGCCGAGTCTCCACCTGCTCATCGGGCGACCCATCCTACCCACAAAGCAACTTATACTAAGCTCCAAATAGCTAGCTGCCTTGGGTGGTGTTTGTATATTGCAGTCGCACTGTGGCGTCATTGCTGGCTCTATTTGTGGCTACAGTGTCGGCTATAGCATTGGCTACAGTCACCCATCACTGTAGCCAATGATATAGCCAACAATGACGCTTACAGTGTCGGGTATAGTCAGGCTATATTCTTGGCTCACTGTAGCCAATACTATAGCCGACACTGTAGAATAGAGCCAACAACAATGGAGCCACAGTACGACTGGAACATTCAAACAAGGCAATAGCAGCTAATATCACCGTTCGATCGATCGTTCGTACGAGAAACATGGTGGGGATGTCGTCCAGTCGTCGCTTGAGCATGTCCCTCTTTTTCGTTAAGACGGCAATGTCGAACTTGGCGCTGTGGATTGGCTCGAATTCTTGCAATAAGCCAGCGATTAGCCAAGCACGGAGGTCCATCTCCTGCACCTACATACACGCGATTGTGGGTTGATATTACCTTAAGAGCATTGAAACATATGATCAATCAATTCAATATTTCAATACATACGCATGCAGGAATAGGATCACCACTCCATTCAATGTTTCTATATACATGATAGCGAAAATATTATTTCCATAAACATGTATATTCGCGACAACCACTACTAATCTTTATCGTTTTAATACCACGATACAGTTAAGGGCATTAGGAAATAGGATCCAGCAATGTCATATTTCAATGCATATATGTAGTAGCAAACATATATATTTCAAACAATACGAATGAGCGAAAATAATACTTCAACAATACGAATTAGCGAAAATAATATTTCAAACAACATGAATTAGGTAAAATAATAATGTTGCCATCGATACATTTACAAAAAGAATGTCTTGTTGTGTGTTCTACTCCAAATTTCCTCTGGCGATTGGTTGAATCAACCCCCGAACAATCGCCGGACCTTCGAAATTTCATATAAAACTAAGTTGAGGAGGTATCTTTGAGACTGCAATGCATCAAAATCAATATTTATAGCCAATCATATTGCAACCTTCAGTCTTTATAGCCAATCATACTCCTTTTCTCGATTAGTTGGCATCAATCCTCCAAAATAGGCAAAGTTGACTGAAAAGCACATTATATATATTTCTTGTTTTTTAATATCACCTTAGGAAATCTCGTGGCCTACCTGTTTCGGTACGTTGGAGAGTTTGACAACGGTCGCGCCGGCGTACCGAGGGTCCATCGCGTCGTCCACGGGCTCGGGCTCGTCCTTGGTCACGATTTCGTAGCACCATGGGGCTCCTGGCTGGGGAGGTCGTGTTTCAAGCAGCCACTGCTTGGGCCAAAGCACGTCTAAGGATGCGAGTTGCTATGTACTCCTGCTCATGTCAACATCGCATGGAGGAGGCTACGGACTTTCGAATTGGTCCTTGATGTAATGTGCGTGGCACTGAAACAACCGGTTGATGGTTTTCCTGGGAGGAACATACACGAGCAGAAGGTATGTCGAGTGAGAGGGTGTTACGATGGGGCAACATGATACATTACAAGCGAAAGTTGGACCGCAGGATGGGCTGGTAGGGGTTTGTGGTCCTGTCCGTGTTGTTCGGGTCGTGCAGGCGCACGTAGATCGAGTCCTCCTTCATCTCATCCACGACGCGGCCGTTCCGGTCTAACACCTTCCGACCCGTCCGCTGCATCAGCGCTGGCGGCGCCATACTCATTCGTCGCTCTAAGGTTCTTGTGCCACCTTTCCGTGAAACCGTCACGGTACTGACCCAAAGTTCAACATTTGATGTCAATTTTATCGTCAATATTTTACGAAAAATGGATAAAATACGTGGGTCGGATTTAAAATGCATTTGGAGACGCTACTTTTTTTAAAAGTTTGATATATAGATACTGTACGCCTCGTGATTCCGACAGGGACTTTGTATTTAAAATTGGTTTTAAAATGATTTTAAAACAAAATCTCGAACCCATACAGGATGGAACAACCTGCGTCGGCGACGTACGTCCAAGGACAGACGGCAGTGTCCGTTACAACGGCGTCCCGACAAGAAGCAAACTTCTTGGTGCAGAGGTTTGGATGTGTGGACGGCATCGACGAGTCTCGGCGGTGGTTGACCTTGGAAGAAGCGTTCTATCTCGCCTCAGATAGGCGCATACACATTGCCGGGCTCTCGACGCATGATGCGATCTGGACTGCGTTCACATCGTAAGTTTATATGTACACCTCCATGTAGAGATGATCTCGACTTTGGGGATGCAGGGCGGACGACGCGTTTGCTTCGAGATACGTCGCATATTCCCGTTATCGGTCACGAGGATGGATCGTGCAGTCCGGCATGTTGTACGGCGTCACATATGTGCTCTACCGAATGTCCCCCGACGTCGTGCATTCCGAATACATGGTTTACGTCCACGACAACACTTCGTCGTCCAGTGCGCTGTCGTGGCAACTCCTCCAGGTAGTCTATGCATCATGCAGCGTAGTTTGTTCATGTCCGATAGATGCTAACGCGGCTCGCCGAAGACGTCAAGAAGACGGTACTTGTGTGCGAAGTTCAATTAGTCGCGAAGGATCATTCCGCGGACCCTGCAGCCTCCATCACCATCGCGGGTCGTCGCTTCCATTGTAGAGAGATGGCCTTCCGCCACTGGCCCGCACAATTCACAGAAGGCGCGTCCTTCGCCATGGCCGAGTCCACCGCCATCCCCAAGCGCACCCGATCATGAAAGTGTAACTGCAACATGCATTGACTTCAACGTAGAAGAAATATAACCAGCTTAATATCACTTTCGTCATTTTTATCAGTAGTAGTAATATTCACAATCGGCTAGATCGATTGTGATTGGCTATATAAACTTGCATCAGTTTATGGTGCACGGGGCAGTTTAAGGTGTCTCAAATTGGCCAATGGAGTTGCTTGAATTTAGGATTAGCCAATCAAATCGCTAGCATAATGAAATCGTCAAAACAAAAGCAAAACCCTACTACATAGTAGTTGAAGCACTGTACGGACGGGTTACTCGGAGTATTAATAACAGTCCTGCTATTACGTAGTATACTACGTAGTACTTATTTTGCCTTGATTGAAGTAAATGAATGCCAAGATCTATTCAAGCCGACTAAATAATAAAGAAGATTAGCCATCTATCGAAACCCTGGAATGGCGAGTTTGAACATGTCAGTCATGTTATCCAATCAATATAATCCAAGGGGCTGGACTTCAACTTCCCTACATCTGCATCATCTGGACTGCCCAGTTGTCCGCGGTGCTGTAGTCGTGGTGGTGACGCACGCACATCCGTTCGCGCTGGGCCCACTTGGTGCACCCCGTCACGACACATCGCAATCCGCCTCCATGTCCTCGACAGAAGCCGTTCGAAATAGATCCTTTGGCGCAGTCAGGCGCTTGGCAACGAACTCCGCCGCCATGGGCCTTGCACTTTCCTCTGGACTGCATGGACTTGAGGCAGCCAGGGACGTTGCAGGGCTTGGTCCCGCCGTGGGTTGTGCATTTACCAGCAAACTGGGCCACTCGGGGGCATCCATGGATGCCGCAGTACCGTCGACCGCCGTGCTGCGTACACATCCCTTGACAACGAGCGAACTTGACACATCCTTGCTTGGCACACAGTTTACGAATGGGCGGTGGACGAGTGTTATTAGGGAGTACATGGGACGAGTTGAGCAGCGGGAAGGGATCTTCACACGGGAAATCCAACATCGAGATCCCTGGTAGATCGTCGAGGGAGGTCAAGGCATACCCGTCAAAGGGTCCGACATCGTCGCAGAGACTTGTCACGTTCATGACAGACGTGCTAAAGGCTCTGGTTTCCATGGCTGAAGTGTCTGGATGGAGGCACGTTTGAAAGTGTCTGTGGCGGCGGGTTGCAGAAGTTCGCCATGACGCCGTCGCATGCAGGATTCGGTCTATTTTTAGTTCTCGTTTCTGACAAACATTCTACATCGAAATTCAAGGTTTACCCTTGAAAACCAAATTGCTCAGTTTATGAGGGTTATGCGATGAAACAGGAGTTGTCCAGTTGTTCGAAACAATGACGATGATCGAGGCTACAGCTGCATCGTTCCTGACCAAGTGTGGAGCCAAAGCTGCTTTACCCGATCATAACAGACAACCTCGATGAGCCTCCTCTCCCCTGACGAATACTGGGTTACTTGTACACAAAAGAGGGGGTTTCGTTTAGAATAAGTCACAACCGTATCGCAGGTTATTTCGTGTTGTATATCGCGATGTACATGGCATCTTGAACGCGACTCTATCACGCTCGAGAGAGACCACCATGCTTGCGACAAGATCCATTGGAAACAACACCTTTTGTACACCCCACAGCGCGGCACCAGTCCCCTGGTGTCTTGCATACGGTTGCACTGGGTCGACCACGGCTGTGTGGCTGTTCGTACAGAGTCCCCCCGAAGATGGTGCTGTTCGACAGGCGTTCTTCTGTGCTACATGCCTGGAGCAAACGCCCATGCCCCGCGCGAGTCTTCTGCACTTATCGACCGAACACACCTATTTCAACGCACTTTTGGATTGAAATACCACATGCATATTTGAAGGTTAGTTAAATGGTGCAAGGTGTATACTGTAATTAGGTTCACTTGAAAGTATCAAAACACCAAAGTCACCGTACTTTTCTCGTTTTGATTCAAATATTCGTTGAGTAAAATGTCAAACCGGATACACTCTACGGTTGTTGTAATAAAATCCCAAATTGGTCGACAGTTACAGACAGCCATGCCTCCGAAAAATACTATGGAATACTAGTACTTCGAAGTACAAATGTAGTAGGTAGGGAAGGCGATATCAAAATGAAATCATGGTTTTGGGTTCCAACAGGAAAACCAAAAAAGCTGGAAAAAAAAGTCAGCTCGGGTTTTTATCGGTTCCACTGCCCCAACAAAGACAAAAAAAAGTCGAAAAAAGTGAAAAAAAGAAAGGCATGCATTCGACCGTTTCGTCGGCAAAACACGTTTCCCCCATGTATTGTGGATTCGATACGAATTTCCAGACCCCGTCGAATCGAATCACGAATTGACGCCATTGGCTAATCCATTTTTGAGTGGATTTGATTGTCTCTCGAAGAAAGGACACAAGTATGTTCGACCAATCAGAACTCCAGCGTGATTCAATATTAGACAGATTTCGCAAACGTCAGTTCTATTTTATCCGCAACCTATGCTCTCAAATTCGATAAGGATAGAACTGAACCTGTTATAAATAATTAAAGCCGCTGTAAAATTTGCCAATTTTGCAGCGGATTCCCCACTTGCTGTATTCGCATAAATGGTGGGTTTTCTGTGTAACCTGATGCGCTTGTGTTTGTTTGATCATACTTCAAGTATTGTGCTTTTCATCCATTTTGCCCATTGTTTTATCGCACTATTCAATGGATGACAGAATTAAAACCACACGTTAAACAACGCAAATCGAGAGTCTGGCACATGAGCTAAATAAAGACAGGTCGTTATTTACTGGACCATCTCACTCGCAAAGTGGACGAGACCAACATGCAGCGGGATCGATTGAACGTCACGTTCCCATCGTGTTGAATCTTGTTACGCTACTTCGTGAGAGTCCAAGTATGAGGCGAACGACGTCAACTTCAATGCCATAAACTTGGACAAGCACAACACATCTCCAACGCATGTCGA